ACGATTATTAGACAAGACTGATCTGTATTTTGAAGGTGATAAGGGTCCATTTTGTGTCACAAAGCGACGCGCGGCGCCCGCGACGCTTTTATTTATTGGCTGCAAATGACTGTTTTTATTCAGACAAACACACAATGCAATGAAGTAATAGACTTCATTTACGCTTAAAGTTTCATTCATTTATTATTATTTATAAAATATATAATAATGCATTTAATCGAAAGTTTTTGACATGTGAGAAAATACCATAATTATTTCCAATAACATGAAGTCTACAATTAGAAAGTTTAATATTTTTGTCCAAAAACATGTGTCGACGACTGTACCCCATTTTACGTTAGTATGTAGAAGTTTACATTAAAATTTAATGGTTTTCTAAGTCAAAAGTCAAGCAAAAATTGGACTGATATTGGGCACTATTTCAAGCACAATTTTTTGAGACGTAAATTGTACCTATAGCTCGTTCGATATTCGCGCACTGAGGTGAGTATGCTGGGCGTAGAACCTACGCCCAGCATACTCACTGAACGAAGCCTATAACTCCGAAGTTATTCGAGCACTGTTTTTTCTTTTTGGGCACCGTTTGGCACTATTTGGGAACTATTTTTTGAAGTATGAATTATGTTTGAAGCGTATACAGATTCTCCGGACGGAGGTGAGTATGCTGGGCGAAACCTTCGTCCAGCATACTCATCGAACTATGGCTATAACTTCGCAAGTACAAGAGCACTATTTTTTTCCTTTGGGCACTATTTAGCACTATTTCAGAACAGTTTTTTGACATTCATGAAATATCAGGATTCCATGGTGAGTATGCTGGACGAAGGGACACAAGTCCGGCGCGTCCCAAGGACATGAATAACTGTCTTGGTTCCCGCAACGAAGTGAATCAGAAGATATTATAATAGAAGAAGAAAAAAGTTCGCCGATATATTATGTCTCAAGACATATATCGGCGAACATGTCAAACGATTCCACAGTGACGTGGATTTTACCAGAGATGTCGACCAAAGTCCGGCAACATCGCGCTACTTCACCCAAAATTGCTGGCGACGCGTTTCGCAGGACATTAGTTTGTCCTCTAGTGTATCCTAGGCTTTAAGCGTAAGACATAGGTACCTACAATATACTATATTGTGCTTATTTATATTGGTTGTATGTGACATGTAGCGACCACGTACACAAATGTGAGTAAGTAACTACTGGCGGCGTATGCCTGTTGCAATTGATGAAAGACAATTCAATAGATCCTTGACTTAAATTAATAACGCCTAACCTATTTCGACTAGCAATACTCTGATAATAGTTTTATCATTTTTACTAAGAGACCTGAACTAAGTAAATTTTATGACATAACAGTCATCATTATATATACATTATAGACATAACGCATAACATAACATAACATAACGTCACGGCTTTTATCCCCGAAGGGGTAGAGGTGTACATGCCACTGTACAATGTAACACCCACTTTTCACTATTTATGTTATAAGTCCCATGTGATAGGGGGTGAACCTATTGCCATATACCGGGCACAATTCCAGACTCCGTACTACTACTGAGATTTTTTTTTAAAAACCCAGTCATATTTTGCCCGACCCGGGAATCGAACCCGAGACCCCTTGCTCGGCAGTCGCACTTGCGACCACTCGGCCAACGAGGCAGTCACAGACATACATATAGACATAACAGTTATAATCTTGTTGGGCGATATAGAAATTTCAGTTAAAAAAAATCATGTTTATTAGAGAGCGCTCTTGATATCTGTAGGTCTACTCCGGTTCTCGAATGCGAAGTTTCGTTTGATTTGCGGCGGCAAACACGTTTTCGGAACCATAGACAACTTTCGTGAACTACAATGAACGAATGAAGTGAAGATAAATAAATAGGCAATAAGTAGGTTTAGATTCAAAATTAAATATAAAAATTGATTTTAAATAATTATGTTACTAAAATAAGAATGCCATGGCCTAGCACACATAATCATCAAAAAAATCATGAATAATCTTTTAATATTAACGTTTAAGATGAAGAATCTTAAACAGGATAAGAACCTCCTTTCAGAAATTTATTATACGACCAAATTATAAAGTTTTAGAATGTTGTTTTATTGTCATTTATTGACATTTATGTATAAAATAATGACAACCAAATTTATTCGTATTATATTAGTACAGTCAGTTTAAAAATTATAAATGTCTACATTAGAATTTGAAGAGACTAAATTATTTCGTGTTATGATGATTAACAATATATTTTTGAAAGAATTTATCTTATCTATAAATATTGGTATATTAATAGATGTGAAAGAATAGCGAAAATATATATTAGCAATACTTAAGTTAATTTTTCAAGCGGTATTATTAGTTTTAAAATAAAACATTACACATGAAACATTTATGTACAATACATAAGGTATTCAAATAAGTATTTGATTACCCTAAATGTTACTAACTCTCATAGACATATAAAATATATAGGTTCGTGTTAACAAACTATTTGAGCTGACTGTACATTGATTTTATATCGTCATTTAAGTAGTTCCTTTGGTGCCCTACGTGTTGCCCACACAAAGAAACCGTGATAAAACGAAGACTTATAATTAATTTCCTTCATTTTTCAATAAATTTAACACAAACGAAAATCAAACGATAACTATTTTGGTTTCGTCGAAATGACATTAAACGTCCGAAGAATAATCGGTCAAACTCGAATTTTCGTTCGTGCGGATTGTACAATTAGAGTAGGGTTCCGAAAATATCGACGTCAAACAGTACATCTCATACTAATTTCTGGCTTGTTTCATTCCTTTTTCGTTCGTAACAAATGCCATTGTGGTAGGTAATGTTCGAAGTTTCGTCCGAAACTTCGTTTTTCGTCGAATCAGCAGCTGTAGCCAAATGCCACTTAGCGCTTGTCTACATGTAGAATAGAAAACCAAATTATATGGAATTGACGTATATTTTGACACTTGTCAGTGTCATCCCCATACATTTTGATTTCTACTCTCTCTGTAGACAAGCGCTAAAGTGGCGTTTGGCTAGAGGCCCAGAGTAGACCTCCTGAATGTATTTTAAGTAGGTAGGTTATTTGAAACAAAAACTCAGAGCAATTTCAATATTTGAACGACATGTTTTTGTGACGGTTGTATCCGTCGAAAACATTCCAGACTAGCAGTTAGATCTAGATTAGATTAAATGTTTCAATGCACAAATGCTTATGTTACAAAATATGTAGGCACCTATGTATAAGTAGCTAATTTTAGGTACCTACTTACCATATTAGGTATTAGGTACATACCTATGTGAACGGTGTTGAACTATCGATAAATCGAAACAACGATAGTTACTTTACTTATGTCTATTACTAACTTATATTTAAAGCTTTGACTGCACATAGAAAACTGATGAAGGCAATTCCTGCGCGTTGATCACCGGTGATACCCATTGCGTTTAACGTGTTAATTATTGGAATAGAAATCATTGAAATGTATTATAGATGACTAGTAATTAAAGTTAATTACAGATTGGCACAGTTTGTGTGATCAACTGATACACGGTTACTTTGCACCTGCTCCTTTTCTTTTGTAGTCTTCTCTCACTATATCATTTACGACTTAGATACATACCTATTTAGTAAGTAAAAATAGATATAACGAAGTAGGTATTAAATATTACCTAAAACAATTTGCAACGATTTATCAATCTAACATCATCGAGCTTCACATTGGCTAACGACTGACCACCGACAACAGAGGTAGACCACCGTGAAATGAGTTCATTATTTCTTCGCATTACCAACCGCGGGCATTCTCCATTCAGTTTCAAATACACTCAAATCAAATGACGAAAATTGTCTATTGTTATTGTTAGTTGTAACAATTTTCTGAGCTCGAAATAACATGGTACACACAGAAGTAACACCCACTTTTCACAATTTACGTTATGAGTCCCATGCAACAGGGGGTGAGCCTATTGCCATATACCGTGCACATTTCCAGACTCCGTGCTACTACTGAGATTTATAAAAAAAACCTATTGATACTTTGCCTGACTCGGGAATCGAACCCGAGAGTCGCACTTGCGACCACTCGGCCAACGAGGATATTATGTTACTTTATTAAGTAAGACTACTTCCGCGTGGTTGCACCCGCTCTGCTCGACTCCTATTGATCGTAGCGTGATGTTTTATAGCCTATAGTTTTCCTCGATAGATGTACTACCCAATACAAAAAGATTTTTTGAAATCGGACCAGTCGTTCCGGAGATTAGCGCATTCAAACAAACAAACTCTTCAATTTTACTAAGGGCCGATTTTTCAATCAGTAAGAACTGTCTAAGTATGAACTGTCAATTTTATTCTACAGTTTCTTAACTGTAGAACAGTTTTTATTATGGAAGAATTGTCAAATATTGAAAGTTATTCCTCAGTTAAAATTTATCTGAGCATTGAAAAATTGACCCGTAATAGTTTAAGATACACCTTTTACCCGTCGTGTGTCTGTGTGTCACGTGCATCCACGCGAGACACAATGTATTTTCTATTGTGTCTCATATTGGTGCATTCAAGCTGTTAATCCCCGACAGCGTAGACAGAAGCGACCATATTAAAATATTTTCACCAATTATGTTATGAGTCCCATGTAAGATGTAGTAGAGGGTGAGTCTACTGCCATGTACTGGGTACGCTACCAGGCTCCATGGTATTACTCTCTCCGATCGGGTTAGATTGTTGTCCTTTCCGATCGAAAGGAATCTCTAATCTCCATAAGGTTGCACTTGTAGGTATTTGCGTGTAGGATAGTAAACCATTTTACAAAGCAATAAAAATATTTATCATCAAATAACAATTTATTAATAAAATACAAATCATATAGGAACAAATAGAGTGATACAATAATAATGCTATGATCAATATTTTCATTAAATACATTTAAAAACGCAAATTATCTAATAATAATACTTTTGAATAGAAATTAATATTGTAATCCAATCTGATCACGCCTCAATTTATTCATTAAATAATTGATTATAATAATTTCCTGTAAAATGTTCAAATAATTCGTAACATGTCATAGCCTATGTAACTAAGATATAAAATATATTATTCGAAAACGTATAAAGATTATTTAATATTATGTCATAGAAATATTATTCTTTGTGATGAAAATTATTACTTATTTTAGGTTTAGCCTTTATTTATACAATTCTGTAATTGTAAACACTGTTGTTTAGTCGGCTAAATATCAAATACAAATCTCTATAGGAAAAACAATCAACTCGATAAAACTGTGATGTGACCAAGTGACAACTTCTGACATTCACGGCTGTTTTAAGTCCCTTCCGAATGTATACCTTCATCGTGGATAACTCACATAAACCTGAATTAAATAGTTCAACACAAATTGTTTGATAAAAAAATCCGTTTTTAATAAAAAAATACCACCCTTTTCATGTCAAAAATCTTCTCAGTTTAATAAAAAAGAACTTAAAAGAAGTCTTTTTGCTTTTTGCCATTCTTTTTGCTTGCAGTCTTCAAAATTTAAACTGAATATGAGTAAAAATAGCCTCAGGAATCACATATACATAATAATTAATAATATTCACATTATACTTAAAACTATCAGACATTGCAGATTGCCTGGTAGACTTCAAGGTGGCTGTCTTCCACTGGAGTGAGGGTTAGTTGGCGACTGGCCTTCAGGAAGATGACGACTCCAGGCTTGGCTGGTATCGGCTCAGTGTCACACACCTCGCCCTCACCTGAAATGACGATGATCAAGCTTGGACTCGATCGGTTCTGAGTGTTGTAGCAGTCACCGCTTTCCACCTGAAATTGTGTATTATTATTGTTTTTATTTATTGTTTTAGCTGATATTTAGGTTTTAAGTATATCTTTTTATTATATTTTTATTGAATAGAGAGCGATTGAGTATACGGATCACTTGATAGTAAGCCATCAACACCACCCATGGATATCAGCAACACCGAAGGAGTTATAATTGCCAGCCTTTTGGAGTAAGGTATTTGAACCAAAATAAACCTTATGCTAATTGACAGAAAGTTCAATCTCTAACAACATAATCTTACATACCCTTATTTTGACGACGGCAAAATCAGGTACAGGCGGTCTCCATATGCAAGAGTTTCCGTCTTCAAGCTGAGGGTTAAACAGCAATTGTTCCTGTGCATAGCTGCTATAGTCTAACATATCGACTAGGGTTGGCACGTCGATGTGTTTGGGAGTCAGCCCTGCACGCACCACGTTGTCTGAACAAGCCATGCACTCGATGCAATCTGGAAGGGTAATATAAAATGAGATTACTTTTTTTCATTCCTAAAAGCGTAGGAATTAATTACGTAGGCTGTAGCCGGAGGATGCAAAGGAAACCAAGTTGTTTCTTAAGATATAACTTTAATCAATTAAAATTACAATAAGAAGGTGATAAGTAGTCGATGTTGTACCAAGAATGACGCTCTTTAGACGGGTTGAAATTATATCGAGTATTAATGCTGAGTTTGCGCCTCATGTACGGAAAATTGTCGCTATGCTCAAAGGTTCATCATTTACACCGTTGTACCGTCTATTATACCGTAGCGTAACACAGGCGTAAACAAATGCATAATCTCTCGGACTCTCTTTGCTAGTTATGTTATGAGTCCTATGTAAGAAAGGGTGAGGCTATTACTTTATCTTGCCTGGGCAGAATTCCGGACTGCTTGCTGTTACACACTACATAGTATAAAACAGAGTCGCTATTCGCTATCTGTTTGTTTGACGCGACATTAACACTAACTTTTCGGTCGTTATGTTATTTGTTCCATATGGTATTGATTCCATTTCGGACTCCGTGCTACTGTTGAGACTTATCGAAAATTAACTCTTCGTAAGTAAAGCTTTGTAAGGTTATGTTGTCTCGGGATTTTCAACTTTTAAAATTAATAACTGGAACCTTATTACATACGTATATTGCAATTAATATGTTATATATATGTTTATATATAATATGTTATACTAGCTTTTACCCGCGGCTTCGCTCGCGTCACAAAAGGATAAAAAGTAGCCTATGTGACATACCAATACACACAGCGCCATCTATACCAATACTTTTGTTTTCCTTCGGGAATATCAAATTTTTCCGGGATAAAAAGTACTCTATTATTTAATCCAGACTTCTAACTTTACGTCTGCAAAAATTCAAAGCAATTGGTTTAGTAGTTACGGCGTGAAAGCGGAACAAACAAACAAACTCACTTTCTAATTTTTAATATTAGTAAGGATAATATAACTGCTGAAAAAAGTTAATTGCAAGTCACACTATTTATCTGGAGAAAAACGAGTGTAAAAACAATGATTTTTATTTTATTAATACCTACTACATGGAACGTGCGCTAACCTAATCTAAACAGTAAGATAAGGGGAAACAAATTCTAATAATCTGGTCTAAATCATATCTTATTAATCCATGTATAAGCTGGTATTTAAACAAATTGCACATTCATACTATGTACTTAAAGTACAGATTAGAGTAAATCGTATTTGTAGAGTATAATGATAATATTCAAGTTTTCATGTACATATGGTGAACAAATACGGGCCAACATAGTAGATAAGAAACTGTTGTAGTAATTTGAAATTGACGCGTTCCATATAATGATAGATGACAGGTTGTTTTTGTTTTACTTTTTCTCTGCGCCATCACTGCTGTAATGTAGATTTGTTCTTTTCAATAAAACTAGATAATTAATATTAAAATCGTTTAATTACAATAGAAACAATGAGAATAATAGTGTTAGCAATTATTTTTACTTAGAACTAGAAATAATAATGTATTGTTATTTAAATGAGGTACAACCTCTGTAACTTTATCCTAATATATCATTTGAAAATGAAAATGAAAAAATCCTTTCATTATTGTTATTTGTGATTGCATTGGGTGATCGTACTTGGGGACTCCTTTAAAGCAAGATATGCCTGTGTTAGAAGACCCGCTATTTCATTCTCTATTTTTAATTTGTAACCACTACATAGTTTAAAACAAAGTTGCTTTCTACCATCTGTGTGTCTCTATGCTTAGAGATCTTTAAAATTACACAACAGATTTTGATGGTGTTTTTTTAATAGATACAATGACTCAAGAGGAAGGATTATATTATGCATAATAACTCCGAATGTAACTCGTGTGAAGTCGCGGGCAAACGCTAGTCTATAATAAAACGTATAAAATAAATGCCATATTAAGTAGATAACTTATTATAGAAGTTTATAATAATAATTAATATACGGATAATTAACAAGATGCTTATTGCTTCAAAATTAATTGTTTGATTTATTTATTTATTAACCCATGGTATGCCGGGGACGTACATACATATACGCGAGACACAATGTGTTTTCTATTGTGGCACATATACCGGCAGATACCTCTTATCTGCCGGTATATGTATTAATAGAACCAATAAACTTTGCCTAGATCAGGATAATGTGATTTCTAAGTATTAGTTAAACTAACAAGACTAATTTTATAGAACCAGCCATCACAAATACTTTATAAGTACATAAAAATCATTACTAACTACTACTAATTTACATACATGTGTGTATCTTTATTTCAAAATACAATAGTTAAGAGTCTAAATATTGATATAGGTAGGCTATGTTTTGCTTTAGACATTGCAAGTAATAATTTTTTATTGGATAGGTTAGCAAATGACCAGGCGTACCACCATGGTAGGCAATCAGCGCCACAAATGGACACCCGCGACACCAGATGAGTATGAAGTGCGTTGCTGTATGAGTATGAGGATTGGAGATTTGGGGATGGGGGAGATTGAGTTAGTAAGTTTATAACACATACCTCCACTCAAATAGGCGTGTGGCAAGTTAGGCTTGAGGAAGATGGCTTGTCCAGGTCTCAGCACCATATAGTTCATGAAGTACGGTGAGAAACATCCCACGTCACCAGGGAAGTCAGTGTGTAGCCGTTGCACCAATGTGTAGAGAAGATTCGTCTGTGTTCTTTCATCTGTGTGATTTTAAAAGGGTTTCGTTTAGTATGTTTATTTTCATAATATGGACTAATCTCTCTTTTATACAGAGATACTGAATGTTTAAACAAATGCCTGTCTACAAAGAACTCATTGTTCAATTTCGGCTGCAAATATGTTTTAATTATTGAAACATGTTTATTATAAATCGGATTCTACCTAATCAGGCAGTTGTAATCTATTTAAAGTTTTAAATAATTAAATGATAACCATCTTAGATGTTATCATTAAAATCAACAGGATATTTGGCAGTTAGGTAACTTACGTACTTATCTGCCAAGTCATTTCGGTTCTGGGAGCAATGTTTATACGAAATTCATATTTGCAAATACAACCAGGATATAAGAAAATGATAAGGATAACAGTCAAGTTTAACAAAAAATGTGCTAAGTACACAACTATGCGAGACAGAGTACACAAAAATTTAAGTCCCCATCGAGTTTGAAACTAGTTGAGCATTGTCTTCAAAATAGATACATGAGGCCATAGAGCCATATTATCTAATTATTTTTATTATGTCTATAAACATGATATAATTCGTTTTACATGCTTACCTTCCTTGCTCAATCTATCCAGCAAATTGTTCAAGGTGTTAGCTACAACAGTTTTGTCACTGGTCATCAAAGAATGGAACACTGGTTTTAGAAATGCCTGACTGTCTCCTTGTTCCTGATGTCCTAGCAGATTGTCCACACTTTCCTTCGATAGCATGTTGGCAATCTCTGGTAATTCTGTAACGTAAATATAATCTTTTTGTATGATGTAAGTAGAAATAAAAGGTCCTCCTATGAGCAGACACTGTCTACTCAAGTTTAATGTGGTTTTAAATATAAGTCACTAAATAAATGCTATGGTTTTTATTTTTGTTATGTAAAACATCACTTGTGAATTAATCATGTTTACCTTAAACTTATTCACAGAAATGGTATGAGGAAAAATAACAAAATACACTTCTCATGACTAAAGGACTGGTTATTTCTTTAGACAGAAACTTGGTATTCCTGTTATATCCCATTTAAGTGTCTTTATAAAAGTTATGAAATTATAAAATATTTTTACTTATTCAACATAATTTTTTTGACATAAAATGTTCCCCGCATTAGGATTTTCTCCTGTGTCATGGGTGCGTTTACAAACATATAAGTTCACATACACAATGACACCCAGACCCGAAACAACAATTTGTGGATCACACAATGTGTTGTTCCGTGCGGGAATCGAACCCGCGACACGTTGTACTGCAGCTGGTTGCTCAGCCACCGCACCAACCGTGCAGTCCGCATTAATGATCTAATGATTCGTTAGTAATAAATAATGATAATAATTTAATAAAATGCTTACTTTTAAGGAAGTACTGGATTTCATTGAGTGGTCTAAAGCCACAGAGGGCCTCAAATGGTGTCAGCGCTATGGCAAGTTCTGGCTTGTGGTTAGGATCCTTGTACATATCCGGGAAGTTCTTGTGGAGTTCTTCGGCATGGTCCTGCAATGTAAAAGTAAAACATGTTTCATAGTAATTCTATCAAAATTGTTCTGGAAATAATTATGCTCATGCTGGCAAATCAATGTGTCCTGTAGCTGTACAGGAATATTCTCCCATTAATGTTGATTCATGGAACTATTCTTAGACATTTGTCTGAAGACAAAGAAAGAAATACATTTATGAATTAGTTTATAATGAAGGCCACAGTCTAATAAGTAGATAAAAACATATTTTAAGAAAGTTGCTCTATCATTGTTTAATCAATTGTTTTATGGTGTACAACAATGTGCCCATGTAATTACTTATCTACACACACATTTATTAGTTCAGTTTTCAAGGTAAAATGTCATTCCAGAAATTAAATAAAATTGTACAAATTACCTTCTTCGGGTGGGCCTGTACAGAAAGGGCTTTTCTTATGGACAGTATTTTGAACAAAAAAGGTACAGATACTCCGAACTTTTTTCTCACATCAGGTCCAATGGCATCTACATTGTCTTTGATATAATCAGAGAGTAAGACATCTCTACCAATGATGACTGATGGTCCATTTGGGTGAGTTCCCATCCATAACTCTGCATAAGGCTTTGATTGATCAATAACAATGTCTGGGTGGGCTGTAGACAGCAATCTTGCCACAGTACTCTCCAGTCCTAACTTCCCCCACTCATAATTTTGTACCTTGCACTGTAATTCCATGGTTCTGTAATAAACAAGGAAAACATAAAATTTTGAACTCCATTACTTTTTTATTTAACATTTGTTTTTTTTAATTAAATCATTCTATAATAAAATATTGATAATAAAAATGAAAATGTACATACCTATAATACTTACTACAGCACAAATCTGATAATTTACAATTCACCAGAGAAATAATATGAAACAGATTTTTCTGTACTACTTGAAGCAGAATAGGCAATTCGTAGGTATACATAAACACTTCACAAGCAGTGGAAAAGAGAAATTTAATTAAGATTAAAATAATAATTTAAGAGTAATACTTTATCGACTGTACTTTAATGCATACCTATTAAAAATAACAAATGTAACAAGGTTTAATTAAATACCAATACTTTAGCACGACAAACTTACCAATAAGAAATTAAAAATAGAAACAATTACAGTATAAGACACGATAAGAAGTAATAAGAACCAGTACGTGTGTAATAGTACGATGACTACAGCTTAGTTGTACACGACACGTTATCAATGCCCACTCATTGCAGCGATCCCATTAAACCACATAATTGTTATGTGACGACACAACAAATTGAAAATATGAATTGGTTCAACAAGAGGGAACCGACACCGAACTTTTGAAAGATGTAATCAAAATTAAAAAACGTCAAATCGCCGATTGATACATGACATTGAAATGACATTTAGGATGACACTGACAACCTATTTGACATTTATTTCTGCGTTCGGTAATAGTCTTATTTTTTATATTATCACATAGTACTACTTAACACAAAATAATTAATAAATGCCTATTATTAAATATATGTAACCACATAATTTTTTAGAACTTGAAATTAACAACAACTAAACTATTAAATAAAACGAAATTAAAAAAGGAAACAACAAAAATTATACCGTTAATTTAGGCGTCAAAGTATTCGTCCACATCACTATCACAGGGGAACGTTCCCAGAAGACTGGCAGCATTACCAGGTTGAATGGCAATGATTATTTTCTGTCCGAAGAAATAGCCAGCCCTCTGGTCACGTGTAGAGTCAGTAATAGCACTTCAAACAATAGCAACCAGGCTTTTTATACCGATAATGAAGAAAAAATGAAAAAGAAATTAAGCCGAACTGTCTAAGGTGAAATCTGTTCCATTTTTGTCAATTATGTTCCTGTATCTTATAATAAAATAAATGAAATAGTTTTTCTTCTTCAACCCATTTAAAAACATTCGAACTACAACACTTTTAACTCTTCGTTAATACCTGTATACTTATTGATGACTAGCCTGGTTTATTAGATTAGGTTTGTACTTTAGAACAATTATGAGCAATTGCTTGAGAATCAAACCTGCAAAAAAAAACATTGAAAATGTTTTCAAATATTCTCTGCAACGTGTTGCGTAGGAGTCGGTCACCTAGCCACTGTGCCCTGTATGTATGCAGTTTAATATAATTTAATGTTATCGTAACTTCGTAAGTAATGTAATGTACGTGAAGCCTAGTAAAATACCTGTAACGATACTTTATGTGACTACAGTGTGTACTAGTACAAAAAATAAAACAAAGGATATTGAAAAAATATAAATAATAAGTGCAACACCTAATTAAGTAGTACCTAAGCAAATATATGTTTATTTTTAAATTTTACGCTTCGTAAAATACAGTATCATCATGGATGTTGGCCTTCGTATCGGACTGTGTTGCAGAATTTGCAGACACCGTTAACTTCACGTTATTATTTGCATTGTCTTCAGCAGCCTTCACATTGTTAAGTTTTAATTTAGTCTCCAATAATTTAGTACTCTTTACTATTTTGGCTGGTATTGCAAATCCAGTGAGTCCTCTATTTATTATTTCTACACTTGGTGATTCATCTAAAGGTTCACAGAAACTGGGATCACCAACATAGTTTCTTCCGGCATCATATTTAACGCTTTGCCTGGCAGTTTTTTCAGGCGGACTATTAAATTTGAACTCTATTTCTTTAAGATCTAAATAGGGGTATTTTTTCATAATCACAAGTTGTTCATACTGTCGCAGATCTTCTTCACTTAAAGAGTTTTTCACGTTGGCCAAGCGGGCTTGAATGTTTCTTGAAAAATCTTGTGTCGAGTCTTTAAATCTTTTGAATGCATTGTCTAGTTTGTTGCCCATCTTCTTTGTTCTGTCGAGCATATTGTCGTGGTGGTCACTTCTTGTGCAAATTTTGGACTCTGAAAACATATTTTAAACTGTCAAATACCAAGCGGTCACCGGTGACCGCAACCTATTGTTCTATAATTGTGTCTACAAAACCGGTACCTACTCGACGAGTTAAGTAGACTTTTGTGTGGAATTCGTTACTGATAAAAATTTAAATAAAGAGTATAACAGCTTGATCTATGTAGGTATGATTTTATCCGGTTGTAGAAAATTGACAGTGATAGCACGAGGTCTAAAATATTGTCTGGTGTAGGGCAGTAGACATGTGACTCACGCCTTATGCATGAGAATGATAACGTAAGTTGTGAAAGGAGGGTGTTACATTAAATATGTGTCATTGCTTGCTCCTTCGGGGAATAAAAGGATGTTAAGTATACTCAAAGATACTTACGATTGCCGTAAACATCTATGAACACATTGGACCCCTCTCTGTGCAACGGGAAGGTGTAATTGAACGTAAGACATAAAAATATGCACAAAATGGTTAAAACCGCTGCATTACGTTGCATTATACTGCAATTCACTAAATATTTAAACATTAAAATGGATGAGCCCGAATTTTTTATCGTTCGCACCCATTTATGACATTTTGTTTTTTTTTATAACTGTCTCAACAACCCGAGGTTAAATTACAAAAAGTATGCAATCGTATTACCGACATTATGGTACGTACTACGTTCTTACATTGCGACGAATGCGACGTTTGCTATTACTTTTCTAGCGTTTAGTTTATACTCACTCACCCAACAATAAATATAACAAATCATATTTACTTATTCCAAAGGTGTATAGACAGAGGAAAACTGTCTGAGAAATGACGTCACGGGTTCCGTTCTCGCAACTACGACTGACGTTGAATTAACCCACGACACAGGAGAAAAGCCATGAAAATGTATGTTATGAAACCTATGTCACAAACAAAATGGCAAACAGACTTCAAAATCTTAAATTACTTGGTTAGTCAATTTAATATATTTTGGTTTCACTCATGGTATAAACCGATTAATAAAATTAAAATAAAAAAAAAATATTTTTAGTTCAAAAGATAAAATTTACTAATTTAAATAAAGGGATAATTGGAAAAATTAATGCAATTTCTACATCAAAAATTAAAAAAAGAGTCGCGGAGAACCTAACGGGTAACCGGGGCTCCGGATCGACGTGCAGGAGAAAGAACGGGGTGGTTTTTAGTCAGTAAGAGTCTGACACTCCCTTCCGCCTCACCCAGGCGGGAGCAGTCATTCGATGATTTTCGCCCTTAAAAAAAAAAGGGACCATGTTTAATTTAATTATAACTGCAATTGAATTATAAGTAAGTAAGTACTGAAAATGTCGCTTGACTGTCGGTCAAGTAATGGTAAATGCAACTGCCCATGGCGTAGTCTCGGATTCTAACAAAATTTTACAGTAGGGAAAGACCTGTCATTAAAAAGATAAAGCTTGAATATCTAAATATACCAACAGCAACAGTTCTAGGTATTAAAAAAAACTTAAATATAAACACTAACATCTTATTTCTTTATCTAAGTTAGGAAAATGTAAACTTTTACTAAGTTATAGTCCCGCCTAGTGGGTCGGGTTTGTAAAAATGGAGGGCGCTCATTGGTCTCACCCGTTCCCCTCATTGTTCCCGCGCGGGATGAAAAGGGAACGAACAGGAGGCGGGGCTCTTCTCGGGGATGTTATGCACCTGACGCTGTCAATTGATCACTATCCCGGAATCAGATCACACGTGTGTCGATTAATTATCGTGATGAGCGAGGAACTTGAGGATAATGGTCAGACCGACGCGAAAACCGCGGAAACGTTACAAACACCGCGACCGTCTTCGCCGCGGAAATTCTTTGCTAGGATTTACGGGCATCTCGAGGAACCTAAGCGACCGAGTGTGGTGGATAACGTGCAGGGGTTCGAGAGCGACTCTTCCTCGGACGTGGAAATAGGCGAGAGTGAGGGGTCAGTGGAGCTGCAGGCCAGGGAGCCCCAGCTGTGGTCGCCGCCGCCGCCGCTGCCGCTGTGTCCGCGCCCCATGCTGCTGCCGCACCAACAACTAGCTTTTGGAGCTGGTCTTGCTGCGTTTCGTAAGTAATAATAATATAATAATAAATCTTTATTCATTATAAGAAATTAGTCATAGTACAGATAAACATCTTAATTTAAAATCAGAGATCTCACTAGGTTTGAATGCCTGTACTAGGAAGAATATCCTGATCACAGGCGAAAGGAGAACTCACAATATTACTAATTCTAGGACAAGTTATTTATATAAACAAATTCCTTAATATAAGTAATCGATCAAAACTAAAGTAAAGTTGATTATTTAATATACATACATACATACATAAGTTATTTTAATATGTACCTAATTATATAAGTCTACCTTACTCGATCCTTAAAAAAAGTTTAAAGTGTTCCTACAGTTTTTCACGTCTATACTCTAGCTTCTACAGATCACGGGTAGCTTTACTTAATACGTTCGTAAAGATATATTAAGTAAGTACACGTAAAGTTGAATCGTGATGATTCATTGTATTTTTAATGCTCATTTGGATACTAATCTCTAGTAGATAAACTATAGGTACACAGTTTGGTTTATTTTTAAAATACATTAATATTTATCCAATCCAAACGCTAACGATGACCATAATAACCAACGAAAAATGATCTTTAAAGAATCATTTTTGGACCAACCTTATGCAACTGAAATAAAAATAATACTTACAAAAAGGGGATATTACAATTATGTAGTGCATACATATTTTCAACAGACGAAAACACTTTAAAATTCTAGTTCAGAACCTACCCAAGAAGGTACTTATGTTTAATTAAAATAATTAGCAGATATTAAAATACTAGCAGCAGATAAGTTTAGGAAATTGTAGCGTGCTCGTAAACTCAAAATCTCCACTGTGAAGAGCATAACTAAACCTGCCATTTGGTTTCCAAAATTGTCATATTTCATACACGTTGCTGCAGCCGACGTACTGGGTACGGGTACTGACTCTAATATCTTGTTATTATAGCATTTTTTTATCATTTCAAGATATTAGAACATTTCTTTCAATAAGGCAGAATACGGCTGTTTATAGCCTCATGTGACCATGCGAGTAGCGCTTACCTAATGGTAAGAAATCAGCACCTGCAAGCCTGCAAAGGATTAAAAAGTGCTTTGCTGGCCTTAGAGGGGTATATTTTAACGTTGCCCCACACTAGCATTTTTTCCTGTGTCGTGGCCAGTCGTGGGTGCGTTTACAAACAAACAAGTTCACATGACACCCAGACCCGGAACAACAATCTGTGGATCACACAAAGAGTTGTTCCGTGCGGGAATCGAACCCGCGACACATTGCGCAGCAGCCGGTTGCCCAGCCACCGCGCTAACCATGCAGTCTAATATTTGACTTGGACCTACGAACCTGTATATAACGTCACTCATATGACGAAATAGCATGCCAACTTTGTTTCATGCCAGTTTTCTGCAAGGCCGTGGTATCACACCGGTCGAGGTGGCACATTCGTATTGAAGCAGGATTCTCCGATGTGACTCTACTGCAATCGAAAAACATTTAGTATATTTTAGAGTTTATAGTGAGCCTTTACCATTTAACAGTTGTAGCACGATGGTGACAAGTACATAGTGCTTTTTCGTAGCTATCTATAACATCTGCTGCGAATGTGCTATAAGTAATTATTTATTTTTCAGGTATATATAGCAATTGCTACGATAATGCTACAAGGAAGTGTTCTCGTAGCAATCTGTAGTAGTCGCTACGAAAGCACAACACATAACACGATATTGTAGCGGTCTGTAGCAGTTGCTACAAACGATTAAAGCGTTTTCGTAGTAGTCTATTTCTGTTGCTACAGAAATGCTACAAGTATTGCGTTATTTTAGCTATCTGTAGCAATTCCTAGGAATATGCTACAAGTTAAGAATTTACGTAGCAAGCTGTAGCTGTTGCTACGGAAATACTACAAGTAATGCTTTTTGTAAAGCTCTGAAATATGACTATCACGATTTCATCATTACCCAATATCCAGTTATGTCCAAAGAACTACTACAAGTCACCGAGACACAAGCGTATAACCTAACTGTGATCACCAGTCTCCAGGCTCCCTGATGGTGGGTTAATATGGCCGAGTGTATACCTTTCAGTACTATACTTATGTATAAATACTGCAATCGAAATATGTTTATTACAGTTTTCTGTTAAAAAATATGGAAAATCATTAAATGACTTCTCTCGCCTTGGTTTAGGCGAGAGGGAGTGCTAGACTCTTACTGACAAAAACCACCCCGTTTCTACTCCTGCCCTTCGAGCCGGAGTCCTAGCAATTCGTTAGGCTTCGGCGACTCCGTAATATTAAATAGTTGAAAATATGATTACCATTAAATTTCGTAGCACTTGCTACGGCTAGCTACGAAGTTACTACGACGGATACTACAGAAAAAATAATTTTATTTATTAATACTCTACGTTTGATCTATTGTTGATCGTTGATTCTAGCAAATATATGGAACAAGTGAATTGATTTCTGCAAATAGGCTACAGGGCAGCATACACGTCAATTTTATCAAGCGAACGATGAGGCCGACATTTCCTAATTGATTACTCTGAGAAAAAATGCCGAAACAAACTCAGAGGTCATCGTCATGTGAACATCGGTAATCCCATTTTGTAAAATAACTATCGTGAGACATACATGATTATTGTTTTAAATGTCGTGTCGATAGCACGTTTTTATGCAGCCATCGCGTCCTGCATCTCGTGTGTGATTGAATGGAGAACAGTGGAATTATTAATGGGGAATTTTTTACTGCCCCTTTATTTAGAAATTTAAGCAAACCAAATTTCTCCACTAATAACCACAACACTCACCATAAAATGACTGTGCTACAAATTAACTATATGTTACTCACCATAAAACAAAAATACTGATTTGCACACAAATTGTAACAATATTACAACGGAATTTCCAAAATAGGTTAGGTTAGGAATTGTTAGATTTAAGTTAAACGACAGCCATTCAGTAAAACAGTTAAGCTTTAAAGGTCTAACAGGATAGTAGCAATTCAGTATTTTCGGTGGTAATTTCGATTTGATTGAAAAAAGGGAATGAACAGTTAAAGTATTAAATCCCACCCATTATTAATTAACACTATACCTATATACTAGAGGTACAATTTATGAATGTGTAGGTATCTCTCTTATTGCACAAGACTATACACAGGTAGAGAAATTACTTCGAGATCGTGCGATCTTGTGTACATCCATGGATGTATATAATTGTACGTATAAGTAGACATATATCTATGTTATTAACATAACATTACGCATTTTATTCCCAAAGGGGTAAGCAGAGATGGACATTATTTATTTATTTATTTATTTATTCATATTGCACAATGTACATATAATAGGAAGTATTACATTTTTTTTTTTTTTTTTTAAGGGGGGAAAATCATCGAATGACTGCCCCCGCCTGGGTGAGGCGGGAGGGAGTGTAAGACTCTTACTGACTAAAAACCACCCCGTTCCTTCTCCTGCACGTCGAGCCGGAGCCCCGGTTACCCGATGAGGCAGGAGGGAGTGTAAGACTCTTACTGACTAAAAACCACCCCGTTCCTTCTCCTGCACGTCGAGCCGGAGCCCCGGTTACCCGTTAGGTTCTCCGCGACAGGAAGTATTACATACAACTAATTCAGTACATTACCTTGTTAGGGCGCAGCAATTTAAAACGTTATAAAATTTAGTGTCAGCTGAAATTTATAAATATTACCTACTTAGAGCTATTACAGCACTACCCATTACATACATTACAGCACTTAATGCCACTTTACTGTAACACCCAGTTTTCACTATTTATGTTATGAGTTCCATGTAATAGGGGGTGAGCCTATTACCATATACTGGGCACAATTGCAGGCTCCGCGCTACTACTGAAAATAAAAAAAAAACATTAAATTTTGCCCGACCCGGCAACAAAACCGAGACTCCTTGTCCAGGAGTCGCACTTGCGACCACTCGGCCAACGAGGCAGTCATTGTTATCACGTAGGCATAAAAAAAGAAAACGCCAATGTAAACTGCAGCGTGATAGACTAAACGTAAGTTTAATATAAGAAACCTAAGTTTAATCTATCAAACACATAACGCAACACAACTTAAGTGTTACTTCACGTCGGTTTTCGGTGAGGCCGTGGGGATCACTCTGGTCCAGCCATTCCTACACTTATAATTTCCTTTTTTATTTCACCTAACTAGAAATCCAGAACTGTAAAGGTGAATAATTTGCAAACTTAGTCCATTCATTAACACAGATTACAGATATTATTTTCTTTGCTAATTTCAAATCTTTCTCAAGCAAACAATAATAAAAATAAACAGCGCAAAATGTGTTCATAATCTTCTCTCAAAGACGCAGAGATCAAAGACATCTTTTTTGCGTTCAAGCTTACTCGTAAAAATAAAATATCACTAGAAAAATATTTGAATATAATGGAGGGTGTCCATAGATAAGCCTTTTGCGCTGTAGAACCTCCTTCCCTAATCCTTTCACACAACTCTTTGCCGGACATCTCTTTATGGATTCAATGGAAATATTTTTTCAAAGTTCTCTATATTCTTATCGCCTTGGACGACAGTCCTTGTGGAACGTTTTTCAATAAGAATTTCCCAAGTAAATAGATATACTGGTTACTTAGGTACTTAATAATATTATTTGCAGGTATTTCTGTTCAGTGATATTTTAGATTAAAACTTCATAGGAGATATCTAATCCCTTCTTACTAACTTCTAACTTGATAAAATAAGTACAAAGAAAATAATACCTGAGGCCTTAATACGAGTTTATTTTACGTTAATAGTACGTGTTCGACGCTCTGATTGGCCGACTCCAATGAACTAACCAATCGAAGAGCTGAAAGCAGTCTCGTTTCGATTACTTTTAACGTAAAACAAACTCATACTAAGGCCTCAGAGTGCCGAACGCGTACTCGTTACGATTCGTATGAAACTCGCCGTAAGCCCTCTGTACAACCTGATTCTTAGTTTTTTTTTAAGTGTGGGAGAGCCATGCTT